GTGATAGGTGATCCATTTATCATTATGTTATGAGGGCGACATCTGTAGCTCTGTTACCAAACTGAAAGCAAGTAGGTTTTTTGTCAATGTTTAGTGTAAGTTGTTTAGTCCTCATCCAGGTAGATATTTTTGTTAATTCAGTTTTTACAGTTTGGCTTAGGCGTGACTGGGCTCGGTAGTGAAGAAGACGTATGTAGTGTCATCTGCAATAGTGAGGGTTGAGTAATTGCGAAGCATTTGGAAGGTATTATGATAGGGGAAGAAAGAGAAGAGGGCCAAGGCATTCCCTGTGGGACACCAACTGTAATTGGTTGCGCAGAAGAGTTTGGCCCCATTTGCGTACACAAATGGCTTCTGTTGCTGAGGTATGACTGACGGTATGTTGAGGGAGTGCCCTCTTATACCCATAGAGTGACATTTTAGTGGAGCAAGTCATGCGTGAACTGTATCAAAAGCTTTACGTAAGTCATGAAGATCCCAGTGGGACTTCTTTTTTCTCTATTGCAGTTGTTATATGTTCTAGCATGTGATAATAGATCATTACGTATTTTTATTAGGCCTGAATCCAAATTGGCAGGGGTATTGAGTATGTTTTGGGAGTTAAGGTAGGAGGTAGATTCGTTTATGAATTTATTTTTCGAAGATTTTTGAGAGAGGGTTGTTGTAAGTTGGATATTGGCCTATCGTTATTCAACTATGTTGGTCTCCTCCTTTGTGGATCGGGGTTTGACCCTGCTAATTTTGAGTTCTGTGGGGAGGAAGGTGGAGGATTCAATGGATTGTTTAAGAGTGTCACTGCCAATGATTGGTGATAGCACCTTGTGACACTTTTTTGCTATATAAAGGGTGGTAAGGTATTAATTCCTGCCTCTGTTTTTAGTGCGTTGATAATAAGGGTGACACTTCGTATGGGTTAGTCGGGAGCTCGTCTGCATTACTTATAAATGCATACAAACACTAGATAACAAGAATTACACTAACATATATTAATGTTAGAATAGAACAGGCATCAAAAAAAAACAATAAAAAGGTTTTACTATACACAATACACCACATAGTGCACTACTCATTACTTACTTAAAAATATTTATAGTCCTTAATCTTAGGGTGTGAGATTGAGACAAGATATATTTTATTGTAAGAAAGAGATAAAGAAAAACAGGAAATCAAAGTTTGTCTGTGCTGGTTTATGTATTGTAATTAGACTCACCGGCCAACCCCACCCACCCCACACATACAATTCTATGATCATTTATTTAAGCTTCCAGAGCGATATAATGTATATACAGTTCACTCAATACTTACCTTCTAAAATATTTGTAGTGTCCTTAATGTAGGGTTCAGGAGTAAGTAAATGGATAAAACGAATAAATGAGAGGAGAGTAAAGAATGAATTACATGAGAGGGGGCAGGCGCAGTTATGTAAACAAACCAGGGGAAGGTAAGTTTTGTAAACAAACGAAGTGTACACGATCCTGGTTTGTGTACAAGTTACATTGTGTACAGGTTGTCTCTACATTGATACGTAGAATTATAAAGAGAACAACTCCCATTCTCATGTTATTCATTTTGAGGATGGAAATGAAGCTCCTGAGTGAAGGCAATGGGAAATAAGTCACACGGGGACTTTTTTTGGGTTATCATAGGTTTTCTACACGTATGTTGTTTAGTATGATAATATAGGTATACTGTATTTGTGCTATTACCTGAAATAAACTTACTTACATTTCATACGAAGGAATAATTTTCTACAGTTACCCCAGTAACACATTTACTTCTTTTATGTTAGATTAGAGAAAAATGTTTTTCTTGGCGTCACGTGTACAAGTTTATGTGGCTACCTCACAATCCGACCCACCTAACACATCTTATATTTATGTTTTATTTTATTCTATATTTGTTGTGGGGTTGTATTTATTATTTTATCATTTTTCTTTAGTTATGTATCGTTGTTTATTATATAATTTTGAAAAAAAAAAAAAATTGAAAAAAAAAAAAAAAAAAAAAAAAAAAATAACATGGGAGGATTTTTAATTGAAAAAATGTGTATATTACCGTAATATACGACATTTAATGAGACTCAGTAGTATGTTATTATCACCACTTGTGCAAGTCGTCTGTCTGCTACGACATCTCACATTTGTTTTTTTTTTTACTTGTGGGGTGTATTTATCTTATTTATGTTATGCATCGTGTTTATTATATGATTTTGAAAAAAATTTCATGGATATGGATTAATGAAAAGTGTAGTATTACGTAATATACGGAAGTTTAATGAGACACGGTATTGTTTATTCACCACTTGTGCATGTCGTCTGCTACGACATCTCACGATTTGTTTATTTATTCTGATGTCTGTGGGGTGTATTTATCTATTTATTTGTTATGCATCGTGTTTATTTATGATTTGAAAAAAAATATCATGGTGGATAATGAAAATGTGTTTATTACGTAAATATACGACATTTAATGAGACTCAGTTATTGTTATTATCACCAATTGTGCAAGTCGTTGCTACGACATCTCACATTTGTTTATTTATTCTACTGTGGGTGTAATTATCTTATTTATATGTTTGCATCGTGTTTTCTTAGATAATCTTTGAAAAAATATCATGGATCGGATTAATGAAAATGTGGATATTAAGTAATTTACGACATTTAAATGACTCGTGTATGTCTGTAAGTTTTTTAGGTACAGGTATCATAGTATAATATAGGAGTATTTTAAAATATGGAAATAACTTTTAAAAACATTTGAAATTTTGGAGTTTCCAGACAAAATGGAAGAGACTTAGTGCTTTACTGAGCTCATGGAGGGAATAGTAAACAAACAGGGCTGGGGGCACGGTTGACGTATTAAAAAGTCAGGTGGGGGGGAGCCGTATAGCGGAGTTTTGGTCATATTGAATGTTCCGTATTAGCGTGAACGCCGTAAGTGAAACGCCGTAAAGCGGGGCCTACCTGTATACACAATTACATAACAGAGGAAAATATATCTTAATATCACTCGCAATTTGACTGGAGATTAATGTGTATCAAACTTCAGAAAACCTACTCTAACTAATCATGAAAATAATGTGGCCAGAATTACACACAAATCTAGAGAGCTTATCGGGTTCTGTAGCTGGTCTTGTCCAGTTCATCTGATACTCAAGTTAGCAGGAATGCACATCCACCAATTTCGCCTACCTATTGAGAGGTGTCAAACACAATTTTAACTCTAGGAGCATGAAAAATTCTTCCCCAATTACACCAACGTTTTTACAAAATTCAAAACCATGATGGCGAGTCTCTCTTCAATTTTTCGATAAACATACTTCTTTTAAAAATTACATATAGGGCATCTATTTACCTATAAATTACCGTATTTCCGGGAAAATATAGACAGTATTTTTCACAGATACTGTTCTGTCACTTTTGAAAAAACATCATTCCCTCAATTCTTGTAGGTGGTACTGTCATTCTGGGCCCCATACCATAGTGCCAACAAATTTCCAGACATGTGCAATGACATTCTTGGGACAGCTGGAACTCCAAGATCTCCCAATCCTCAGGTAGGACACTCACGTTCTTCCTGCCCACGGGCAATATGGCTCGTTTACTTTTGACAGCGTGAACTCCCATCCTCAGTTTATGTAGCAGGGACACGGTACAAGTTCGAAAGGTAGATCCCTACACTGTAACAGTGTAGAAATTGCTGGCGATTTGGCCATCCGTGAAATATTTTGCAAGATCCATAGCTGAATGCCCAGTCTGTGGTTGCCGATGACCATTCTAACACGTCTTGCAATCGACCTCCCTCTTGTCTTATTGTCATGAGGCTCACCCTTCGTACTCTAAGCCGTTGCCAAGTCTACTTAAATGAGTGGGAAAATCCGTTACCTCAAAAGATGCAGAAGGTCTCCCTATGCATGGCAGTTTCTCAACTCTGCTCTAAGGGAGACTACCTCGTGTTTCATATTCTTGTGTTTCAAACTCCCCCCACTTCTGAGTCCCATCATCTGCAACCCTCTTTGAGTTACCTTCCCATAGTCACTCTGTATCTAATTCTTTTGCTGTCCTAGGCTCGATGTCCTACTTCAATGCCTCAGTCTGTTCTCCCCCGCTTCTTCATGTTCTCCCTCACAAGCTCAGTATCGACGAGACCTCGTACGACACCTCCCAATCATACCCTCTACTTCTCAGAGTCCTAAAAAAAGGTCCTTTAACCCCTCTTCCCTTCTTTCCACACTCCTATATTACCATCCCTGTCTCTGTAACGGGTTCTTCCCCTCTCACTGGCTCTGTTACAAGTGTATAGAGGTTCACCCCTCCTCTCGTACTTATACCTACCTCCCCTGTTCCCTCCAAGTTTTCTTCCTTCTTCTGCCACATCCCAGGTTTTTTCTGCTTTTGTCCCCTTCCATGCTTCTCTCCAGTTCCCTCACCCTCTTGCCCCCCCTACGTGGTACAGTCCATTACAGTTCCAATCTTTACTCATCCTCCCCTAACATCTCCCAATATTGTCTCCATACGACGGTCTCTGAATTCCGAAACCACTGAAGCAATCTCTGAATATATTGCAGAGACCAACCATCAATGGACACTGATCACCCTCTGTTCCTTCTCTCTCCTCTCCTCCATATGGCACAACTCCTTCTTCACGCGCACCGTGCCTTTCGCTGCTTGAACGTTTCCGCTCTTGCCTCACAATGTGGACTTTTCCTAACCCTCTAGTCCGTAAGAAACCCTTCCTGGCGGATTTCCAAGTATTCTTTATCCATTGCCAATCATGAAAGGAAAGACCCCAAGACCAAAAGCAGGAGAGGACAGAAAGGGAAGGGATGAGGAAAGAAGGAATGGGAGAGAAGGGATGGGAAGGATGGGGCAGGGAAGGGAGTAATGGGGATAATTAAGTTCGGTCGGAGAAAGAAGACCGAAAAGTACAATTTCTCAGACTAAAAACAACTTGAGCGTTTCAAGGAGTCCCTCTTGAAGAGGTGTGCTTCCATCTAGTAGTGAAGGTATTGACCTTTATTGATATAAATAATGGTGAAGGTATGCTTGTCATACAATTGTTCTTCATTCATATTTATCATTTATTTGTAGACAATAATGCTGGAAATCCAAGTTTCAAATTATTTTGTTGTAATAGGAACATTAATACATGAACACTAAATACATGAATACATCATTTATCGAACAGTAAACCTTTAACTATAATTAGTGCCTCGTTTATCCACCATCATTAGTGATGGATTCTTCGAGTCTTTCAGATAATGAAGCTACGTGATCATAAAGCAATTGTTTCCTTCTTAGGATCTCCCATTCTTCCTTTGCTTGGTTTAGTAATCGCCCTAAAGTTCTTTCTTGACAGTGAGAGGAACCTGGTGGTTAGAAGGATAAATCTGAAGAAAGTAGGTACTGCAGCAGGATGTGACCTGTGATACTTGCATTACTTAAATCTTAATAACAAAAATCTCCCAAATCAAGCTAGATAATATTGTTTGCAGTGCCAGAGTATTTTAGGGCCCATCAGTTGCCTGAAGGTTGGTTGAGGGAGGAGGAACTGCCACCACAAGTATCAAGTGCCACACACTGGAACAGCCAAGACGCATGTACACAAACATTTCACAAAAATTATAAGAAATATATTGAAATTTGTTTTGAATACCTTGATGAAATGTGTGCCAGGTCAAGCCTAGTTTTTTTTTAAACTAAAAAAACCTTGCCCAAGCGGGTAAGTTGGGGGCTACCCGGGAAGCTACCCATAACAACCTTGCCCAGGCGGGTAAGTGGGGAGCTACCTGTGAACCTACCCACAGCAACCTTGCCCAAGCGGGTAAGTGGGGAGCTACCTGGAAAGCTACCCACAACAACCTTGCCTTACAGGATCAATGTGCTATGTAGTGTGTTGTAGTTTAGAAAATTCCTGTAACCGTCTAGTCTGACTGTGAAAAACACCATTGTAACGTTAAAAAGATTCTAATATCCACTGGAAATTGGTCCAGGTTAAAATTATTAAACACAAGATGTCAAGCTACTGCGTAATAATTTGTCCGTTTACACAGCGTAACAATGAAACTTTGTGTAGTGGCTGACATGTCCTCACACAGTCTTCTCCTCCAGCACTGTCAGAAACACCAGCTGACATGTCCTCACACAGTCTTCTCCTCCAGCACTGTCAGGAACACCAGCTGACATGTCCTCACACAGTCTTCTCCTCCAGCACTGTCAGGAACACCAGCTGACATGTCCTCACACAGTCTTCTCCTCCGGCACTGTCAGGAACACCAGCTGACACAGGTACGTCACTTTGTCTGTAAACAATGGGCATAAGTCTTAATGTCAATTACAAATTTTAAGGTATGTTAAATAAAAAAATTGAAGCCCTTGAGATAAAATGAATGTAACTTTATAAGAATTTGTACTCACAGGCCTAATGAAGTTCTTTTAAATATTGTAAGTAATCTTAATAATAATAGATGATAGGTACTTCAGTTTACATTTAATCTTGCCCTTCCTGTCTGTACTTATCGGTTCTTAATCCAACAACGTTTCTGGAACAAGGATTGGTTACCCAATCTTTCGTATATTTATTATGAATAATAATAAGCTTTATTTCTACGAATACATGGTACAACTTATACAGACTACAGCTGACATCAGTGTCATACTATATAGAACGCCCCTGGTTATGCAAAGTAGTTCGGGCAACTTAGGTTAATCTTGTCCCACAGAATATGATAAACACCAGACGGCTAACCGTACCGGGACAGAAACACGGACACAATGTGTGAGATGAGTGCGCTAACAGCCCAACTATAGGACATTTTGAGAGTGTGATTGTTAAGAGTGTGCTCTAAATCGTTAAGGAAGCTATACGCTCTGGAACTAAGTGAAATAACTGAACAAGCAGCACTAGTTAATAACTTTAACGTAGCAACGAGCTTCCCATCACCATTAAAAACTCAATTACAAAGACTATGTAGAATAGTCAAATAGAACCATTGAGTACAGAATCCTGAGTGGGGACAGTCGTCCCTTGGTATCCGCGGGGTATAGGTTCCAGGACTCTCCGGGGATACCAAAATCCGCCGATTTTCAAGTCCCTTGAATAAAATGGCGTGGTATTTGCACATAACCTACTCACATCCTCCCGTATACTTTAAATTATCTCAAGATTACTTATAATAATGCTTTAGAAACACTGTTATAGGAAGTTGTTTCTTCTTTTTCCTGCATCATTAAACAAATCTTAGTGATTGTAGACATGTATCATGTTTAACTACTCGGCTGATGACTCTATGTACGATGTGCTAGTTCGCCTCACTAGCAAAAGTAAATAAAGGAACCAGGAGCTGTTGTTCCACAGCCACCTTCCTAACCAGCCGTCTTGTTGAATTCTCCCTCATACATAATTTTCCTTGTATGAATCATAGTCGTGGCTTTGTTTCTGTAGATGTCTTCATCTCCTATATGGCAAAATGCTCTAAACTTTAGAACACTCGTGACTTAATTTGATTCTTTTTTCTCCTTCTCTTTCTACCTTTTCCCCTTTCCTATTTTTCTTTTTTCTTGTTTTGGGTTTTCTTTCTTCTGCCTTGGGTGTTTGGTCCTTTACTTCCCTCCCCCCCCGTCCCTGTATTTATGATTATACTTGTTGTGCGTCCTGAGCTCTCCTGTAGTGCTACTCTTTCCTGCCCTTTGACTTACCTCACTGTTACTACCTCTACTACTTCCTTTCCTACTAGTTTTGGCTCCTACCTTCACTTTTGCCTCCTTTTGTTCTCTATCCCTTTCTATTCTTGTCCTACCAACCACTCTCCCTACTCACACTACAACTATTGTCTTACACTTACTTCGTGCTATACCTCTATCCACTACTATTATACTACCGCCAACCTCTACACACAACTATATACTATCCAGCCTTACCTCTACCACTACTACTATACTTCCGCCTTACCTCTACCACTACTATTATACTTCCTCCCCTTCTACCACTACTACTTATACTTCCTTGCTTACCTCTACCACTACTACTTTTTTCCTGTAGATTCCTCTACCACTACTCTATACTCCGGCTTAACCTCTACCACTAACTACTTTATACTTCTCCTGCCTTACCTCTACCACTACTACTTATACTTCCTGCCTTACCTCTACCACTACTACTTATACTTCCTGCCTTACCTCTACCACTACTACTTATACTTCCTACCTTACCTCTACCACTACTACTACTTACACCAATCCTTATCCTCTACCACCACACTTCTTACACTACCAACCTTACCTTCTACCACTATACTACTTACCTACCAACCTACCTCTACCACTTACTACTTACACTACCACCTTACCTCACCCCACACTACTTACACTACCTAACCTCTCCTTACCCACTACTACTTACACTACCAACCTTACCTCTACCACACTACTATTAACTAACAACTCTATCTACACTACTACCTACTTACACTACAACTTACCTTCGCCACTACTACTTACACTCCTTACTTTGTATCTACCACTACTCCTACTTACACTACAACCTTACCTCACCCTACTACATTACACTACCAACCTTACTCTACCACCACTACTACTTACACTACCAACCTTACCTCTACCCCACTACTATACTACTTACACTACCAATCCTTACCTTACACCACTACTACTTACTACTTTACACTACCAACCTTACCTCTAACCACACTACTACTTACACTACCAACCTTACCTCTACCACTACTACTACTTACACTACCAACCTTACCTCTACCACTACTACTACTTACATTACCTACCTTACCTCTACCACTACTACTACTTACACTACCAACCTTACCTCTACCACTACTACTACTTACACTACCAACCTTACCTCTACCACTACTACTACTTACACTACCAACCTTACCTCTACCACTACTACTAACTTACACTACCAACCTTACCTCTACCACTACACTACTTACACTACCACCTTACCTCTACCACCACTACTACACTACTTACACTACCAACCTTACCTCTACCACTACTACTTACACTACCAACCTTACCTCTACCACTACTACTACTACTTACACTACCAACCTTACCTCTACCACTACTACTACTACTTACACTACCAACCTTACCTCTACCACTACTACTTACACTACCAACCTTACCTCTACCACCACTACTACTAATATTACCTGCCTTACCTCTACTACTACTACTTACACTTCCTGCCTTACTCTACTACTACTGCTATTACTACTACTACTACTTACACTTCCTGCCTTACTCTACTACTCCCACTTCTCTTGTCCCGTCCATGCCAGCTCGCCTATATATACTGCCTCATCGCCTTTCTGTTAGTGTGACTTTGTAAATGGTCCAAGTTAGACTGAAACGTCGTCGTAAGCTCCTGTCTCCTATGTGTGGGTTATTTGTGTATTGTTCCAGTCATGTGCCTTTTTTTTCCTTTAGTGGAATTTAGCCACAAAGTATACTATGTATATTTAAGCCAGGAAAACTCAATAAAGTCAATGGGAATAATTTCCATGTTTTGATGAGTATTATACTCTGAAATAATTATAATAATTATTCATTGTACATAGCCTTGGAAGGTCAAAAAGGAAAAATAATCCGAGTAAAAAACAATTTGATAGTAGCGTCTGGCTGACTGACCCATAACGTGAAGCAACTTGTGTGGTTTGTTGTGTCTGTGGATGGTGAAGTAATAGACTGGAAGACCTGTGATGATGATGATCACTGCCATCATCACCTCCAGAGGTTGACGGATCACTGGAAGCACCGTCACGAACACAGAAACTATGAAGTATATTATGGGGAAGATGATCCACACCTTGAAGGGATGAAAATGACTAAAATGAGAATCGTAAAATTATCAGTCATGTTGTGATGAAAAGAAAGTGAGATGTTTAAAGTTTATCTTAATTTTAGGTTGTGTAAGTTTTAATGTGTAATTTTTGTTAATCAAATTAGTTTTTGTAAAATTATTGGAGAATGTTTCTTCTGATCAGAAAAAAGTCACAGTGTTTGACTTTTTCTGATAAATCAAAGTTAAGTCTACATAATGTACTTTTGTGTTTCTAAAACATCTGTTTACTTTAATATTATTTTAGAAAAATGTATTTTATAAAGTATACAGAAAGTTTAAAAAACTTCCTTAATAGTTTTCTCATATATTTACCATACTTCTAATTTGCTTACAGTACAAAATCAAAGAGAGATGTAACAATCAGGTGTTTTCTATGTCAGTCAATACAGGATCTGAAACCTGTGTTTCCTTGATGGGTGAGAAACCAAATAATTTTATTTAGTAAATTGCATTATCCAACATCTTTCATCCTTAATTGTAAAAATGTGTCAAACAAATTTTGAAAAACCTAAAACAGTAAAGAACGCAAAGTGATACATGATTTTTCCCTACATATAACGACGCCTACAATATCATAATAATTTTGAACCAAGGTGAGAACACAGTAGCTGGCTTAACTTCCTCTACCACCTGTGAACTCACTAAGAAAATAATATGTGCATAACACAGATGAAGAAGTTTGGGGTCTATGAAAATCCGTTGCCATGGATGTGATGAGACTTACTGGGAGAAATGATCGGAAGGTAAGTAAATGAATCGTTGAACAGAGGTACGCAGCCGTAATTAAAAATAGAAGTAATGTTTGTCCAACGTAGACATTCACATATTCTTCCACTAGTGTGTGTTTCCACTGATGACTCCGCGTACCACTACTCCACCTCATCTATCAGCAGTATATAAGTCCCGTCTCCACGAATATGATGCACTTTTATCAGGACTGGTGGACTGAACACATCGACTCTAGGTTGAGGGACTGATCACCTCAAACTCATCCTCACTCTCCACTTTTCTTTGTATTGGGCTAAAGAATCCACTGGCTGGCGAAACGTTTCCATAATACAGATACACAAATGTTGCACAAGTGTTGCATTTATCAACTTGACTGTTTTTCAAATTTATAGATCCTCTAAAATAAATTTTGGACTCCTGTTACTTATATAATACGCAATAATATTTTATAATGTGTAAACCACACATTGTAATATCAATAGAGAAATAAAGAATTGTTAATTGTTAATAAATCCAAGTAATGTGTTAGCCCTATTGCACACACTTAGAAACTGTTGTCTTGTCTTCATATTTCTGCTTACCATGACTCCCAAGTCTTTTTCACATTCTGTATAATTAAATACTACATCGCATAGTTTATAATTACGAGATTATTTTCATTCCCAAGGATTAGGACTTTTGTCCACACTGAAATGCATCTGCCACTTTTCAGACAATTATATTAATTTGTGCATATACTCCTGGAGTTCAGGTGGCCTAGTGGCTAACGCATCGGTCTGGAGTTTTATGACTTTATGATCGCGGGTTCTATCCCTCTCCCGTGGTATGGTTTGTTATCGTGTCATTAGGATTTCGCGAGTCAGTTCAGTCGTAATCTCCACACAGTCTATTATTCGGAATATTTTTGTATGATCAGCGAATTTACTCACGTCACTCGCAATTCTTTCATATAGGTCAATAATGTAAATTATGCACATTAATGTGCCTAAACTGATACCTGCAGAACGCCACTTATCACCCCATTAATGCAGACTGTTTCTATTAGTTAACAATGCCTTGATCTACGTTAGAAGTTTACCTCCTATACAATGTGCTGCCACTTTTCTTAACAATCTTTTGTGAGATACAAACAGTCTTTTGTAAGGTACAAATATTTTATTACTGATGCCTAACAATTAAGTTACTGCTTTATTAGCGTTAATTACTGGGTTATCACCGGGTGAAGACTCATGTCAAACGACACACCTGATCAGCTCAATGTAACCATCATCGTTAACCTTATTCAGAAACCCGGTCAACGAGGAGGTAAAAGTCTAGACAACCATGAAGGTCTATTGATCCAAGGAATTGGAATTACCCTCTCTTTACTTGGATCAAGACCGAAGACATCCCAGTTCCAAAGTGAGTTGTGATAATTTTCAGTTTAACACTTCCAATAATAATAATAATTATGATATATAAAACATAAAAACAATAATAATCATCGTGAGCCAATGTGTGTTCCACTGACCTTGATGGGTCTGTGACGGTCTGGTTGCTTGATGCGGAACCAGAAGAATGCTCCAATGCTCCCCAGTTTTAGCAGATTATTGGCAAAGGAGAAGTAGTTAATGAGGACTATCATGTCTGAAGTCACGAACATCGTCATGGTGATGGTAGCCTGAAGGGTGCATGAATACAGGGGTACATGAATACAGAATACATGAAATAAATTCACACACACTGTATACATTCACGCTGTTACAAAAAACGCGATATATAATAAGCATAGAGATCTCCAATGAATACTAGAAAGGACTGCCCTTTTAGCATCCAGCCTGTTACTGGGTTTTTGTAACAAGTAGTCAGTATCCTGGTCCAATTATCCATTAGAAATCAAGATTTAATAGTGCTTCAGGATTACAACTGGTAGGCTACTACCTAAGGAAATTAAAATTTAATAAGTTTATTAATAACAAGGTCTAGGCATATAAGATCAAAGTAAATTAAAGTAATCAATTGAATATAATATAGGATACAAGTTCCTACACTTCTCTCGTGCACAGTAGTATTGTGCTGAAGGTACATATCACATCTTTATGGCTTTTAAGTACTGTCTGGTACATTGTTAACATTTAATAACATAATACAAATATATACAAGTAAGTTTGTGTGTATGTGTGTAAGTGCTCTAAGTAGTTCGCTATGTCTCATGAGTGACTAGACTTAACCAGTGACTGACTAAAAGTCCTCACATAAACTAACTTCTCGACCAACCTGGCAATCAGGACAGCTTGCTTGAACAATAAAACAACTGTTAAGCCGAACAGCAATATAACAAGCAACAGCGGCACAGAATCAGGAACAAGGAGATAATATAACGACACTAAGTAGGGACCATCTGCAGATCCTCCACAAAAGTCACAAAACTCCCATACTACTGAATCTAAGTTCATCATTAGAAAATCCCTGACAGTGACGGTACACAGATTCCAGTACAAATTAGGTCAGAAGCTACAGCTCAGGACCTGAGTTTCTAAGTGTCTATGCCACACACAACCTCAGTACAATGTCGAAAATCACTAAGTCTAGACTATGTTCTGTGAACAGAGTTGCACAGAACCAACAAGAGAGCGGCAGAGACGATCTTCCAACAAGAGCCAGTAAGAAAGACACGTCTTGTCGGAAGCGAAACCAAACAGAAAAGAGGGCGAGTCAAACCAAGAAAGTCTCACCCAGGTGAGGTGTGAACACCCCCCCCTATCACGTGACTCTCCGTGGACTGCTGCTGCCCAGCAACACAGAGAAGCCGGCAGGAAACAAGCAGAATTGGTAGTTAGACAATGCTGTCAGCTACTTAACACTCGAACTATGAGCACTGAATAATATATAAATGTTACATCCTACCTAATAATATAACTAAGTCAAATAATAATATAAAGCAATATATTTACGATTTAGCTAATATCGCAAATATAAGCAATACAAAATTATATGAACAGGTAATTTACATTATATACATGTGACGCATTCAGGAAACAATAACAACAAAAATTTGCTAAATGACATGCTGTAACTATCGCGAATTCATTAATTCATCATAAATAAAAATACTTCGCCAAAAATAACAAATCACCAATGGTAAGCTCCAAGGCACGAAATCAAGTTAGGCTGCTCTGCATTTATTTCCTAAACAGCATTGCCGTACTGACCTAGTTGCACACTTCGCTTAATGGACTTTGCAATTAGGCAAGTTATAGCCAACAATTCATTTACAGCCTCCGGTAATCGCTTTTAAGGCATGACACGCCACCCTTTTCTTCACACCTCTATAGTCGGCGTTCCGCCTAATGCTGGAAATTTTCCAGAGTTTACGAATAAATTTAAGTTACTGCATAGTTAGTTCCTATACTGTCTTCCTACAATGACAATGAGGGAGATTATGATTAAAAATAAAATCCTAAGGCACTTTAAGACAAAGTTAAAAATGATAACAAGGTAAAGGAATGCTATGGCTGAGAGTACTGATGACTACTGACAATAAAAAAAAGGTTACTTCAGACTTTGAATCATCAATACGTCTATAAAAGAGGTGTTCATGAGATGGGCTTCACGTTATAGGATTCTCCAACAACGTGAAACCAACTTCTACAACATGGAAACCATTAAAGTCAGTTCCGGATGGGGATGGCTCGACGATTGGTTTGCGTGCAGCCAGCAGCAACAGCCTGGTTGATCAGGCTCTGATCCACCAGGAGGCCTGGTCACAGACCGGGCCGCGGGGGCGTTGACCTCCGGAACTCTCTCCAGGTAAACTCCAGGTATACATTGTGACCCATTCAGGGGTCGCAATACACACAAAACTTTGCTAAAGTGTACATGCATGTAACTTACGCGAATTCATATAGATTCATGCATAAATAAAAAGTACTTACAGACATGTATACATTCTCACACTTGGGTAGCTCCAAGGCACAGAAATGCAAGTTAGTGCTGCCTCTGCATTTTTTCCTAAACAGCTGTGCCGTACCTGTACCTAGTGTGCACACTTCGCTTTATGGTGCTTTGCTATTATGGACAAATTATACCCAAGAATTCATTTTTACAGCCCCTGATTCGCTTTTAAGGCGTACGCACGCCACCCTGTTTCTTCACATCCTCTATGAGCTCGGCGTCTCTCTCGACTGTCTGGAAATTTTCCAGAGTTTCAAATGTTTTAAAGTTACTGCATATTTTATATATATTGTCTTGTTACAATGACAAATATGGGAGTTATGATAAAAAGAAAAGTCGTAAGGCACTTTAAGAGCAAAGTTAAAAATGATAACAGAGTGAGTAAGGTATGTCTATGGCTGAGAGAGTACTGAGATACTACTGATAGATATAGAAAAAAATTCTTTCATGACTTTACTCAGTCATTCGCTCTATAAAAGAGTGTGTTCATGAGTATGGGAGTGTTACTGTTATGTATTCTTCTGCAACAACGTGAAGACAACTTCTACACAGTGTAACAGTGTAAGTTGCTTGTATTGCGGATGCATAATGCGAGATGAACTTGTATCAACGGCAAGTGTACAAGTATGAAACACGTATAAATCTGACCGTCCACCCAAATCATTAACACTATATACACATTTAGGGAGCACCCTCCCCACGGTGTTTTATAATGATATTAATAATAATAATAATAATAATAATAATAATAATAATGTGAACTTGGGTGTGTTGCCATGAGCTCTGTATGTCTCTCGGTTCCATACGGAAACTTTCCAAAGTTTCAAGTGTTTTAAAGTTATGTCGTTAAGCTCTTACTTTAAATGAACTCTAAGGAGAAAGCGCTACAGGAAATTAAGAGTGTTGCACTAGCTATAAAGTTATAAGAAAATTTGATAACCTTATTGTTTTACTGGTGTGGACTCAAGATCCAGCTAGTCACAATTTGCCTTTAAGCCGAGCCAATTATCCAGTCCAAGGCCCTAAGTCTCTACAATTCTCTGAATGCCCCAATGGAAATAAGTCACTCTGTCTGACTTTTTTGGGTTATCCCAGGTTCTCTACACATGCTGCTATGTATGATAATTCTATGTAACTGTATTTGTGTATACCTGAATAAACTTACTTACTTACTTACTTACTTACTTAGGTGAGGAAGCTGCTGAAGATAAATTCGAAGTTAGCAGAGGATGGTTTCATCTCCTGACTTCCTATAATAAATACTACTCGCCTCTCACCCTTCGTTAAGGCCAAAAATATTTTAAGGTAAGTAATGAGTGTACTGTATGTGCATTTTACTTTTTTTATAATTAATTTTTTAGGCCTAGTTCTACTGCTTACTTAATATATGATAGTGTAAATAATGTTATCAGAAATTTATAAGTGAAAAAAAGATAATTAGGTTGTCGGCGGTATCCTAGCGCCTAATCCGCCATATAAACTAGGCCCTAATGTTTATATGTTTTGCTTACTCAGCCTGCTGCCATCGTCATCAACATCGGCAATTTCCTGTAATTTGAGTGCCACCATCTTGCTAAAAAGTGTTTGTACTTTGAGGCAATCAAGGAGTAAATACGATGCCTGTTCATAGTTAAAAGATTTCACTACTGTTTCATGTGTTGAGAGGAAAAGTGTGGAAATTTGTCTGGACTGCCTCCATGTGAGATGTTTACCCTAGCAGGCTCTGTTGACACAGAGTCATGAGATTGGTGGCCTCAGCCTCACAAGTGGCCTATAAAACACATTTCCATAAGCAACTAATGTTGCAAGAATTTCCAATCTTCATGCAAGAATAAAGGACTAACTTACTCCCAATTTCACCAGCTCTTAGCCCCTCTGTCCCCATCTCCTTTAAGACACCACGTGCAGTGAAGGATTTGGTAGCTGCAAGTAATCAGTTGGTATTAGTGTCCTGACTGCACCTCAGAACTACCTGATTCCAAAGGAGGTGTGAATCCCCTAGCAATATCTATGCGGTAAGTGACACTGGTTTCTAGACTTATACTTAAGAGGAGACGCCGTACGTACTGGTCTTCCGGCGTCCGACTGCTCCAAGACCCACAGTTCAACTCATTCACGTTTCCCCCAGAAAACTGGCCAGATACTGAGAGAAAGAAAGGTATTGTCTTACTGTAAGTGGGCCTGTACAGAGGTGAATATCCACGGTACTTCAGGATGCCTCTAGATACCGAGTTCTCCAGGTCTAGTATGTGTAATCATGTGGGGCGCCACGCTGCTGTTCACAGCACTTGTTGTCCCAATGGTGCCAGGTCTTAGAAGGACCCTCCAGCATCTGTGAGACCCACGCTTCCTCGTTCAAGCTTGTGGCTGCCAGTTCTCCCTAGCTAATATAACCTAATGTTTGCCTATATTAAAAGCCTAAGCCTACCTATGTTAATATCTAAGGTTACCTCATCACTTCTAATACTAACTGTACAAACCTACCTAGACCCCCCTTGAAGGGTAGATAGAGAAATCAACTTTTCAAACTTGTTACCTTTGTTACCTTCGCCAGCTAGTGTGTTCTGTGTGTGTGTGTGTGTGGATGTCAAGGGCTCCGTACGGCTCACTCAATCCTGTGAAACTTTTAGACTGAATAAGTTTCCACAAAAAGCATTTGTAGTGGATGTGTGAAAAATTGCCATGAAGTGATTTTTTTTGTCAGATGTACATACCTTAATCCAGTGACATAATCACAGTGCGCTGTGCACTTTACTCAGCAGTGGTGCTGCTTATGCAGTTTCTACGACCTGCTATCATATTTATCACTCATGCATGACAATTTTCAGAAGTAGCAGATACCTCTGATGTACTCAAAGTTCCTTTCCAATGTTCTGAACTAACATCTAGGTTTAAGTGGCTAATGCTGCATATTTAGTCTTTAAAGACTATTTTTTTTTATTTTTAAAGACAAATTTTTGTTGCTATTGTAGACAGTAAACCTACATGGCTAGTTTCCATAGTTTCCCCCAGAGGGCAAGACTCTGAGGTAAACTTAATCAGCTTCTGCTCGCTCGACGCTTACCCGCCCTTGGCGCCAATTCAACCTAGTCAACACATGCCACTCCTCTCTCTCACTGGGCATGGCCCTCCTGGGCCAGGGACTTAAACACACTGCCTGTGTACCAAGAACCCAAATAAAGGAACAAAGTCTCTGAAGCCTTATCATTGAACCTCGCCTGTGACATACACACACACAATATTTTCATGATAAATGGTGACTGCATGTAATTCTGTGGCATGGAATCACAGGGGACTCGGCAAATTTCTGCCTAGATCCTACTGATCCTGTGTCTGAATGATAAAACTTGCAGACACAACTTCAGGATAACTCGTTGAGAGACAGATGCTTCTTGTAAGAGGCGATAAAGTGGAAACCATTTTCTTCCTTCCTCCCTCTGGGCAAACACACTTGCTGTGATCACCGCTTCCACTAATTGTCACTGAATTATTACGTGTGTACTTGTGTTAATGCAGGTGTGTGCAGTTTCCTGTGTCCCGATGTGTTGTCTGAGCACAGTTGTGTGTGTGTGTGTGTGGACTACAGTATCTTCTGAGCCCAGACCACTGGTAGCACCTCGTGTTACTTGTCACTCATTGTGATCGTTAACAGCTGACATCAGTCAGTCCAGGCATCAGTTATGAGTGTCTAAGCCCCCCTTGCACAGAAAGCCCTTAATGTTCGCCACTTGAAGATGCCCTGCCGAGGCATATCTACTACGACTCCCCATTGAGGCTCGTTTCACTCCACCTCCTGACTATCAGAGTGCAATTACATGTAGAATACCTGTCTGAGGATGCTTAGACTAACCACTACTATTACCCAACTCTGTTGAGAGAATGACACCAACCTTCAGTAGCCTTGTTGCCAGGCGACTGTCTTACTCGTGTCACAGCTTCAATGAGCAGCCTGTATAAAGATATCACTTTGACTGCTAGCCCACTCACTCCAGTTACGATGTATGCCCAGCTGAGTTCACATTTCGCATCATGCTAGTGCTGCCATCTGTAGGAATACCTAGCTCAGCACAAACCCATACCATCCCAGTCTCTCTCCAAGACTGGTGGCCTACGAGATAACAGCTCCTCTCCAGCACACTTGACACTGCCCGCTGTGAACCCCAATACTCCAAATGAAGTCAATCTAATCAATGGCCGTATATCTCACCTACCTCTACGCTACCCGGCAAGTTCTAATTCAACCCAAGAAGCCTGTTAAAACAGCTTAAAACACAATTCTTTGCACTTTTTTAGATTATTCTTTTATTCAGTTTAGACACCAAAACTATAAAACACATACCATCATTGCATGGGTTGATATATTTTTTTTACCTCTTGCAGCTTTCATTATAATTGTTTTAATTTTCAAAGTGTACCTTCAGTTCATCTATTTTATTTTTTTTCCTCATAATAAAAGATCTTCTCTGAAATCTCACTCTTACCTCCACTTCCTTCTGTCAGAAGTTTTCCTCTGCCAGATCAGGAGGCTGGACCTCTCCTGCTCCGTTCTTGTGCATGGAAGGGAGGCAGAACTCTTTCTCATCCATCAAGCTTTATTTTCTTTATATTCTTGCATTTGTCTCTGAGTAAAAATATTTTGCTTTTCTCCTCTGTGCTAATTCGCAATCTTCGCTGACTTTTTTCACTTCTAAATCTCGACCTCTTTACTTCTTAATTCTCAGTACAGAACCTCTCACTTTCTTGATCTCTATCCCAGACTAGTCCATCTCATTGCAATAGGTTCTGGCTTATATAAACATCAAATGAAATGAAATTGAAGGCGAAGTGGCCTTCCCTACTCTAACTTTTAGCATACCACTGGTCTTGGACCAACCAACACAGGTGCTCCTTTTGCTTCATTGATGGTCCCCTGCCCATATGTGTGACACCGAAACCAGGTCTCTATATGGCGATGACTTACGGCTCACATTTATCAATTCAGGATAGTTCTCCATCCTTTCTGCCAGTAGTATCCCTACCAGCTCGACAAGGACGACCAACTCCTTTCTTGTTCTATATTTTCTCTACCAGGATTTACCTTCTTATAATAATATCTTTATTTCTACAAGTACATGTACAAGGTATACAGACCTAGCTGACATCAATGACATACTACTATTTAGAAAGCAACTTGTTATGTTGAGCATTTCGGGCAAATTAGGTGAGTTTTGTCCCAGGATGCGACCCACACCAGTCGACTAACACCCAGGTATCCATTTTTGACTGATGGGTGAACAGGGACAACAGGTGTCTTATGGAAACACGTCCCTAATGTATTTCAGCCGTACCGGAGATTCTATCTCCGGACCTCAGTGTGTGAGCTGAGAGACTCTTACCCCTCTCTCTCTCTCTCTCTCTCTCTCTCTCTCTCCATGTGATGCTTGATGTCAGTTGTGGTTACAGATTTCTGCAGAAGAGTGTTACCTGTCCTAAGTTCGTCCGAGCCCTAAATCCTACTACAACATCTTTTGATTTAATTGTAGCTGTTAAACATGCTTCCTCTGGAACTGTAACTTAATCGTCTGATCATGACGGTCCTTTACTGTTTCCCAGTCTTCTTTACTCCGATACATTGTTACTCTGGACACTCAACCTACAGAATACTTATCACAACACTGAAAGAGAAGCAACTTACAACAAAGAAGAGGGCAGGGATAGGAGTGTGGTTGTGGATGTGGAGATGGGAGAACATCCGGGGCATCTGGCCGCGCCTCGAGCTAACAAACAGCACCCTAGCGTTGGTAAAGATGGCACCATTGGAAGAACCACTTGTAGAACACGCCACAAGGAAGGGTATTGTCCATGCCATCACACCCATAGTTAGGTTGCCAAAAACCTGCAGTTGAGAAGGTATTTGTGGATATTTTACTTAAAATATCTATGTGTATTTAATAACCGGCATCTGTTAGATATTTTCCTTCGTGAAAACATCATGGTATTTGTAATTTAGTAATTAAATTAGTTATGATTAAACATAAACATCTTACCTTTACTCTGTTGAAACTTTTTTTTTAATATGACAAAATCAGTTACAGACAGGTCCCGTTTTACAGCACTTTGGTTTATAATATTTCTTTAATGCAGCGGTTTTCAAAATATGTCAGATTTATTTAAGTAATAATATGTGTACTGTATATGCATTTTTTGGCCTAGCTCTGTTGCTTATTAAACGTATAATAATGTAGACACGTTATGAGGATGTTATATGCATTTGAAATTGGAAAAAATCCTGTTTTACAGCAATTTTCACGTGACAGCAGTATCCTGGAACTTAACCTGCTGTTTAAGCAGGACCTGCTTGTGTCATTTATTTCATAGATGTTGCTTTTATGATAAATTTTAAGCAATGACTTACCATTTTGTAATTAAAATTTGCAAAATGGCAACTCCAAATTTCAATAACAACACCAATCTTCCTCTAACTAGGAAACATGAATATGAAAGGTTGAAGACAATCTGAAGAGGCTTCCTGAAGTTATCATATAATTTGAAAAGGTCAGTATAAAATTTACTAGAGGACATCTCCACTTGCCAAGTATTCCATGAACTTTCCTTCCTGGTTATAATTCATCAGGGTTGAAAATTTCAAGTCAATCGGGTAAGGTGTTCTTTAATTATATACGAAAGACTTGGAGAAAGATAGTGTGCCGGCTTCAGTATAAAATCGTATAAAAATACAGTATTTAAGGGCTCATTAAACTCATAAAAGCACAGCTTTTCTATATTTCTTAGTTTTCATTTCTTGTTTATATATTTAAAAGCCTCTACAATTCAACATGAGAAAATATGTAACTTTTTAAGAAGGTCCAATTTAACATTTATCAGTAAACTTGGCTCCAACAGCGCCTAAATTCAATTCAACAATACTTCCCATTAAGATGCAGCTGAGCTTAACATTTGACACTGATCAGAACAATAGTATTTTCTTAATACATGGGAACAATTATTTACTAAGCGCTCTTTTAATAAAGCCAGCTAACACTGAAAGTTTCAAGCCTTTCAGAAAAGACTTTCTCCAGAAATGGGTCAGTATCCAATTCTAGTTTTTTTTTTTTCTAACAATCTAATTGAAATTTCAAATTTACACCTACGCAGATTAAACTCGGTGGTGATCATCTTTCTTATTAAATCCATCAGCATTGTATTAAATCCATCAGCATTGTATTAAATCCATCAGCATTGTATTAAATCCATCAGCATTGTATTAAATCCATCAGCATTGTATTAAATCCATCAGCATTGTATTAAATCCATCAGCATTGTATTAAATCCATCAGCATTGTATTAAATCCATCAGCATTGTAATAAATCCATCAGCATTGTAATAAATCCATCAGCATTGTAATAAATCCATCAGCATTGTAATAAATCCATCAGCATTGTAATAAATCCATCAGCATTGTATTAAATCCATCAGCATTGTATTAAATCCATCTGCATTGTACTAAATCCATCAGCATTGTATTAAATCCATCAGCACTGTATTAAATCCATCACTGCATGAAATTAATTAGCATTCTATTAAATCCATCAGTATTATATTAAACTCATCAGCATTATATTAAATTCTTTAGCATTATATTAATTCCACCAATATTAGATTATGAAGTCATTCAAAAGATCCATTGTTCCACTGGAACAATACACAAATAACCTGCACATAGAAGAAAGAAGCTTACCACGACGTTTCTGTCCGACATGGACCATTTACAAAGTCACACTAACAACAACGAGAGAAGGAGGGAGTGTATATATAGGCCAGCAGACAGAGACGGGACAAGAGAGGTATTGGGAAAGGAGGAAGAGAGGTAGTGGTTGAGGTAGTAGTAGTGAAGTCAGTCACATACTAAGAAAGAGGAGCACTGGAATGGAGCTAAGAGCCCACAAAGGGTGGGAGCAAGAACACAGAGGGGGTGAAAATAAATAAAAAAGGACAAATATCCAAGGAAGAAGAAAGGAAACCCAAAGGAGAAAGCAGAAAGGGGGAGGGGGAGAAGGGGAAAACAAGAATCAGGTTAAGTCACGGGTATTCTGACGTTTGGAGTATTTTACAAGTAATGGGAAAGGAACGTATCTACAGAGACAAAGTCACGACTAAGATTTAAACTCTCTACTCCTGGAAACTCTCCTGTCCTCTGCCTTCCCTACATTTCCGATCTCTCTAATCTCAACAATTCTCTCCGTTCCTTAGACATCAAACTTACTTTTCGCCAGACTAACACCCTTCCCACTAATCTAGTTCATACCTCTCCTCCCACTATAGATGCTCCTGGTGTTTACTTTATTTATTGTTCCTCCTGTCGTCTTCAGTACTTTGGAGAAATTAGCCGTTCTCTTTCTGACAGACTCAAAGGGCACAAAAGTAGTGTTAGGCTTGCCGACACCAACAGTTCTCTTTTCTGCCATGTCAGAGATCACAGTCATCCTATTGACTGGTCTTCTGCTAAAACTTTCACAGTCGCCGTCTGGCTGAATCCTCCCTTATACACAACTTTCCTTGTATGAATCTTAGTCGTGGCTTTGTCTCTGTAGATGCCTTCCTTTCCCATTACATTGTAAAATGCTCCAAACTTCAGAACATCCGTGACTTAACCTGATTCTCTTATTCCCCCTTCTCCCTCTTCCCCTTTGCTCTTTTGTCTTTCTCCTTTGGGTTTTCTTTCTTGTGCCTTGGATATTTATCCTTTATTTTTATTTCCCCCCCTCTGTGTTTTTGCTCCCACCCTTTGTGGGCTCGTAGCTCCCTTGCAGTGTTCCTCTTTCTTAGTATGTGACTGACTCTACTACTACTACTACTACTACTACTACTACTACTACTACTACTACTACTACCTCTACCACTCTACTGCTTTCCTACTACCTCTCTTGTCCCGTCCCTGTCTGTTGGCCTATATATACTCCCTCCTCTCGTTGTTGTCAAATCCAACATAAAACACGAATTTCTCCCAATCCCTTTTATTCACCAACACTGTCTTGCAGTCAGAATACACACCCACCTTGGCCCCTTTATCTTTTTCACCACCTATGCTCGCCCAAACACTATTCTCAACATACACGATCTTTCCTTAGTCTTCTACTACACCAACACACCAACATACCTTCTAGCTGATATGAATGCCAAACACACCGCCTTTCATCACACCAGTAACAACCAACTTGGTCACCAATTGCTCAACTTCACAAATCATAAACACCTAATTGATCTCGGCCCAGACTTCAACACCTACAACCACACGGGCCAAGGCAAACCAGACATCATTCTGGCAAACCGAGCCAGCTCTCTATTTCAACACTACATATCACCAGCCATCTTACACATCTCCAATCCTATCCTCATCCCGGCCACACCTTCCTTCTCCTACAAGAACGCTGACTGGGATGCTTTCAAACAACACATAGACAATACTAACCTCACCTATGACTACAACAACAAACCTATCTCTGACATCGATACTCAACTTGATCTCATCCAGGACACCATTACACAAGCGGCCAATTTCACAATGCCAAAGAAAACTCACACCACTCGTTATTCCTTCAAACCCTCACCACCCTCACCCAGAACAAGAAGACTAATTATCTGCTACCACAACCGCTTCCTCTACAACACAGATTTAATCAAGTCCGATTAGATCTCACTTACCTTAGAAACAACATTCTACACAGCCTAGACCAAGACCACAAAAGTCACTGGTCACAGCTCATACAACAAGCGGACAAACAGCGTATTAAAAACACTAAAGCCTTCTGGAACTTTATCAAAAAAATCAGAGGCACAACTCCCACCAACAAATTCAAACACATCACCCACAACAACACACACATCTCAGACCTGCAGGCTGCCACTAACATCTTCAAACACATCTGGGAGAACATCTTCCACCTCACCCTAACGTTATTCAACACATTCAGAACATAGAACACTGGAACACAACACTGCACACACACAAGAAACAACACCAGATAGCCACATCCATCTGGACTCTCTTACCTCCTCCCAAGAACTCGACACTCCTTTCACCAACACAGACATTTAAACTCTCCTCAGACACCTTCCTCCCAAGGCTCCTGGTGCCTCTGGCCTAAACCATATTATCCTGAAACACCTTCCTGACTCTATCATTACTGCCTACACAAACCTCCTCAATGCCTCCCTTGCCTCTGGATACTTCCCTTCCCTCTTCAAAGCTGCTACTGCTATCCTCCTTCCCAAACCCAATAAAGACCACTCTGACCCTAGAAACTATCGCTCTATCAGCCTCCTCGAAACTTTAGGAAAACTCTTTGAAAAACTCATCAACCATCGCCTTCCAGATACCTGGAACACAACTCTCTACTTTCTGATGGCCAGTTTGGCTTCAGAACACACAGATCCACACAGGATGCCATTAACATCATTCTCAACTACACCCACATAAACACAAAACAAAGAAACAGGACAGCCCTGGTTGCAAAAGACGCTGAAAAAGCTTTCGACACTGTCTGGCACGAAGGGCTCAAGTCCAAACTCTGCACTAACTTTAACCTGCCTCTCACTACTCGTAAACTCCTCTGCAACTTCCTAGACGGCCGTACCAAGAAATCAAATTCCAAGGATGTTACTCTGACTACTTCACACTAAATGCTGGAGTACCCCAGGGATCTGTCCTCCCCCCTACCCTCTACATTTTATACACTAATGACATTCCAACACCTGTCAATACCACAACTCCATCGCACTAGCCTATGCAGACGACATTACACAACTCATCACTCACGCCAATATAGATAAACTCACAAAACACAAAATGAGGTCGACAGGATAGCCATCTGGGAACAAAAATGGAGGATCAAAAGCAATGCAGCTAAATCCAGCATTTCATATTTTAACTACAGGAAACGTGATCCTCCATTACCTGTCGTGCTCAGAACAGCTGACACCCGCACTTACATCCTCATCACACAATCTGTCACTGTCCTTGGCGTTAATCTTGACTACCTTCTTCGTTTACACTGACACATTCACTCAAGGCATGCAATAGCAAGTAAGGCCCTTGCGGCCCTCTACAAGCTGCAACATGCCTCCCAACGCACCAAACTACACCTCTACAAATCCCTAATACGTCCTTTGATAACTTACTCTCATCTAGCTCTCTCTTTTGCAGCTAAAACAAACTTACATAAACTGCAGCGTGTCCGGAACAAGGCGCTGCGCTGGGTGCTTGATGTCAGATGGGCCCGGGTTCGATTTCCGGCGGGTGGAAACATTTCGACACGTTTCCTTACACCTGTTGTCCTGTTCACTTAGCAGCAAATAGGTACCTGGGTGTTAGTCGACAGGTGTGGGTCGCATCCTGGGGGACAAGATTAAGGACCCCAATGGAAATAAGTTAGTCCTCGATGACGCACTGACTTTCTTGGGTTATCCTGGGTGGCTAACCCTCCGGGGTTAAAAATCCGAGCGAAATCTTATATTATCTTAAGCGAATTTCTCCATGCCCAATTAGACATCCCTGCGGCAAATCTGTACTGGAAGACTCTCAGTGACAGACAGATAGACAAACTTGAGACACGACATGACTACTGGACCTCTCTCCTTGACGAAGACATTCGCAGACCCACAAACCAACACAACCTTTTCTACTCCTTGTGTGATTCTGCTCCTAACCCTATTTACAAATAACCTTGGATTCTCTGACAGGTACCTTGCGCTGTTCACTCTGACCCACGTTCGCCTTAGCTTTTGGTTTAAGACATGGCTCAATTCTACACTCCTCTCTAGCGCTAATCTTCGCCTGTCCCGTTCTCCCCGCTCACCCCACCTGAGTCTCAACAGAAGAGCCTGAATTTCTGTTCTCAATGTCTGTCCCACGATCGCCTTAGTTGCTGGGTTAAGCCCTGGCTCTATTTCTACGACTAAAAACACTCCTCTCCAGAGCTATTCTTCATCTGTCCCGTCGTCCCCGCTCATCCCATTTGGGATCTTACCTGAACTTCGTTCGTTCGTTTTTGCTAATGTGACTTTGTAAATCGTCCATGTGGGACCGAAACGTCGTGGTAAGCTCCTTTCTTCGATGCGGGTTATTTGTATATTGTTCCAGTCACGGTTTTGTGGCCCTTTTTTTTTTGTTATTTATGGACCTCGCAAGTAAGCGTCTTATTTTTTCCAACCTTTTTAATGTTCCTCCTCCTTTTAAATTCCTCTTTGTTTTCACTGTGTATCATAAATAATAGACTGTCACCAAGATCAAAGTGGCGTGCTGCTGACAATAGAGAAGGAAAGGCACCTGTGGATCAAACGTTTATTGAGACACAATTTTGCTCTGTGTTGGTCTTTATCAAGTCTGATAAAGCTCTATACAGAGAAAAACGTTGTCCCAGTGTGGATAAGGTTTTTCTATACCATGTGTTTTAGTTTACAGTGTAGCTGTATGCTGATTTATCCAGTTTTGTTTAATAAACAAAAACAGGAGACTCACTACAGCCACAGCAGCAGAGGAGAGCATCTGGCTGGGTGTGAGCACAGCGAAGTAGGCGATGTTGGTGAGGACATAGATCACTGTGACGCTGATGAGCGAGATAGCAATGGCCCTCGGCACGTTCCTGTTACCGGAAGGGCGAAACATCAACTAGGATAAAATGGCATATTACCGTGAATTGTGAAGATTGAGATACATGTTGCAGAATATACTTGTTTAGGTATGTCCCTCAAAACATGATGTAAACTCAGGTTATTTAATCCAAAACAGAACTATAAAATTTCGATATTAAAAGTGGCAAAATAACACCTACACACTTCAACAATAAGAATCATCTTCCAGCAACAATACACAAGAGGTATTCTAAGGTTATTAGTGTCTATATGAAACTAAATAGATGGAACCTGCACTTGTAAAGTCGTCCATAAACCTTCCACTTGATATATTTCACAAAGGTTGAAAATTTGTAGCTAATCAATTATGATGTTATCAAGTTAAAATTAAAAGCCTTGGAGGAAATTTTGTGGAAGTTAAAAACAGTAGTGAAAAATATAGTGGACTCTGTGATAGGCTCAAGAAGTTGTAATATTTAAAATTCAATAAACTAAAAAAAATACGACTCTTTTATTGTATATTTTTAAAGGAGTAAAATTTAATGTATTTTTTTCCGATAAAACTGACATCTACACACAGTGACGGATTTAGATGAAGAGAAGCCCTAGGCCAGGGGTGGGTAACCTTTAGCACGAGTGCCAAACCTGGCACGCCAACGACTTCTTTCCGGCACACTAACCTCTGGTTTCATCCCGAAAAAAGAAAAATGTGACATTTATCACGTATTCGTTCCAAGAAAAGCGGGGAAATAATCCCCATATGTTTCCAGAGATTTTATATTAAAGATATGGCCGACTTTGGCACGTACACTTACAAAGGTTGCCCACCCGTGCCCACCCGTGCCCACCCGTGCCCACCCGTGCCCTAGGTTGTCCCACTTGTGAGGCGCCTCACAACCTCCCCCCCCCCAGCATCACCACTAGAGGAAGAATGTTTTAAACATTCAGTGAAGTCGAGGATGATGACGGGTGTTTAACATTCGTCAACTCACAATTCCTCCTCTAAAGGGCATAAGATGTTATTGTTAAATATCGTAGTGACTGAATGAAACAAATGTTAAAAATTAACAGTGATAAATGTTTGGAATAATCGAACTTTGGAAAACATTTTGTGGAATAAACAGGATTTTTGGGAGAAAATAAAATTGTAAATTTATATATATATTATATATATAATTATATATATATATATATATATATATATATATATATATATATATATATATATATATATATATATATATATATATATATATACATATATATATATATAATGTCGTGCCGAATATGTAAAACTGGTCAATTAGCAAGAACTCATTTAAAATTAAGTCCTTCCTGAAATTTTCTGCCATACGTTTAAAGATATATTTTTTTCATTAATATTGATGTAAAAATTTATAATTTTACACCAAAAGAATCTTAGAAAACTTACCTAACCTTATTATAACAAGACCAATTTATTTTAGCCTAACTAAACTAAATATATTTTAGATTTGTTTACAATAATTTAATATTAAACAAAGACAGTGAAATATATTTTTTTCGTTAGGTTCAGAATGATTTTGGCGAAATTATTGCATACACAAATTTTCGCTTGTCTTGTATGGGAAGATGAGCGTTGCTATTTAAGCCAAGATCGCAAGTTCTGCGATATATATACGATATATTTTCGGCACGACATATATATATATATAGGTAGTAGGTTGGTAGACAGCAACCGCCCAGGGACGTACTACCGTCCTGCCAAGTGAGTGTAAAACGAAAGCCTGTAATTGTTTTACATGATGGTAGGATTGCTGGTGTCCTTTTTTCTGTCTCACAAACATGCAAGATTTCAGGTACGTCTTGCTACTTCTACTTACACTTAGGTCACACTACACATACATGTACAAGCATATATATTGTAGATGAATGGTTCACAGATCCGACTCGTTGATAAATTAGACATATGTGCAACTCTTGGTTGAGGGACTGATTACCTCATTCTCCTCCACACTGTGTATGGACTGATGAAGCCACACAGTGGCTTCATCAGTCCATACACAGGAGAAGCTTGAAGAATAGGAGGAGAATGAGGTAATCAGTCCCTCAACCAAGAGTTGCACATGTGCCTAATTTATCAACAAGCATATATATACACACCCCTCTGGGTTTTCTTCTAGTTTCTTTCTAGTTCTTGTTCTTGTTTATTTCCTCTTATCTCCATGGGGAAGTGGAACAGAATCCTTCCTTCGTAAGTCATGCGTTTTGTAAGAGGCGACTAAAATGCCGGGAGCAAAGGGCTAGTAACCCCTTCTCCCGTAAAAATTACTAAATTTAAAAAGAGAAACTTTCGTTTTTGTTTTTGGGCCACCCTGCCTTGGTGGGATACGGCCAGATTGTTGAAAGAAGAATATTATATATATATATATATATATATATATATATATATATATATATATATATATATATATATATATATATTCTCTTAAAATACATATGAAGAAATGCACTACGACTTAGTTTTTTTTCCCATCCTTCCTCATTGAAAATCATCCAAAAGTTCATCAAAATTTGTGTAAGTTCGTAACTTTCAGTTCACAGAATGTTCAGTGTGAACAACCTCTCTTAACACACTCTGGCCATTAATTCTTTTTTAATTATTTTGAGGCTTGAAAAAGACTCCTGGGCAGTTAGTGACCATATCAGCTCAAAAATACTAGTCAAGCGGGTTAATATTTTAATTAACAAATTACGGCACTATGTGAAAATTACAACTGCACCTTCCTTGCTTTCACTGATCCAAACTGGCTTATGATGCGCTCAAATTCAGTTTTTTCATTTTCTTTTGTTTGTACACTGAACAAAGCAAGATGACAGAGTCTGTCTTGACTCATGGAGGTTCTCCAGTATGACTATATTAGTTTTAACTTATTGAATGATCTCTTACCACTGACGATGGAAACTGCGATGGTTAACATTATTAATATAACTGAAGATTGGGAAGACATTCTTATCTCCATATTGAAAAATAAATTAAGAAGCTCTTACGTTTGATTTTTCATTTGATCCGAACTATATGCATGCATTCTCAAATCCAAATTTTCTTCTATAGCTGCTGTCTCATCGTACCACAAACTGTAAATTCACAAATTTTTCGACTTCTTAGGTCCGTACTGTGATCTGTGATGGTGGTCAAGTTTCTCAGACTTGATGGTGTCAAGTGTTCCCTTCATGACTCGGGAAATGTGGTCAATGGTTCCCATGATCTGGATGGTGGTCAAGTGTATCTTGGGAGACTCTGTGATGCGTGGTCCAATGTTCCCTTCATGACTCTGTATGGTTGGTCAAGTGTTCCCTTCATTGACTCACTGTGATGGTGGTCAAGTTTCCCTTCATGACTCTGTAAATGGTGGTCAGTGTTCCCTTCATGACTCTGTATGGTGTCAGGTGTTCCCAGTCTGACTCGGATGTGGTCCAGGTGTTCCCTTCATGACTCTGTGATGTGCGTCAGGTGTTCCGTCATGACTCTGTGATGGTGGTCAAGTGTCCCTTCATGACTGTGATGGTGGTCAAGTGTTCCCATTCTACTCTGTGATGGTGGTCAAGTGTTCCCTTCATGACTCTGTGATGGTGGTCGAGTGTTCCCTTCATGACTGTGGTGGTGGTCAAGTGTTCCCTTCATGACTCTGTGGTGGTGGTGGTCAAGTGTTCCCTTCATGACTCTGTGATGGTGGTCAAGTGTTCCCTTCATGACTCTGTGATGGTGGTCAAGTGTTCCCTTCATGACTTTCTATTTCCTCCTTTGCTGTCAACTCAGCTGTTCACTTGCTGTACTCAGCTGCATTTGCTGTCAACTCGCTGTCACTTCAGCTGACAACTTTCATGTCAACTCAGCTGTCAACTCAGCTGTCAACTTTGCTGTCAACTCAGCTGTCAACTCAGCTGCCAACTTTGTGTAATAGCTGTCAACTCAGCTGCAACTTTGCTGTCAACTCAGCTGTCAACTCAGCTGCCAACTTTGCTATCAACTCAGCGTCTTTATTTCTATCATCATTCTCGTCTTTGTCCTCTGCGTCTTCAACTTTTGTCAACATCATGCGTAATTCTACATATTAAGTAAAGGACACAATGCAATTAGACATTCTATTGTGGCACGTTTCGCTCTGCCACAATAAATTTCAACTTGTATACATTTTGGTCCTTTATTAACGTCTTTCAACTTCAACATTACATTCTTGTAAAGTAAATGGACACAAGTGCAACTAATGTGACATTTATTGTGGCAACGTTTCGCTCTCCAGGAGCTTTATCAAGTGAACATTAAATTGCACTTGATGTCCTTTAACTTACAATTGTCGGTAATTACCAACTTCAACATTACATTCCAGACAGAGACTCACTGACCAACAACTTTCATCATCACAATGAACTCTGACAACTTTCATATCCAGTTCAGCATTATGTTTTGTGTATCCTTATTCATAAAGTAAAAACTAATAATAATAAACCTGGACGATAAATATTAAAGAGAAAACTCAAATTGAAACCTCCTTGATATTTTTGAGTTGTGGTAAAAACCGCCGCCGATAACTGGAACTTACGAACCAAATCTGCTGATTCTGGGATTCTGCTGTATTGTGAGTTACTCTATTGTGAGTTACTATATTGTGAGTTACTATATTGTGAGTTACTATATTGTGAGTTACTATATTGTGAGTTACTATATTGTGAGTTACTATATTGTGAGTTACTATATTGTGAGTTACTATATTGTGACTTACTATATTGTGAGTTACTATATTGTGAGTTACTATATTGTGAGTTACTATATTGTGAGTTACTATATTGTGAGTTACTATATTGTGAGTTACTTATTGTGAGTTACTATATTGTGAGTTACCTATTGACTACTATATTGTGAGTTACTATATTGTGAGTTACTCTATTGTGAGTTACTATATTGTGAGTTACTATATTGTGAGTTACTATATTGTGGTTCTTATGTGAGTTACTATATTGTGAGTTACTATATTGTGATTACTATATTGTGAGTTACTATATTGTGAGTTACTTATTGTGACTTACTATATTGTGAGTTACTATATTGTGAGTTACTTATTGTGAGTTACTATATTGTGAGTTACTATATTGTGACTTACTCTATTGTGATTACTATATTGTGAGTTACTCTATTGTGAGTTACTATATCTGTGAGTTACTCTATTGTGACTTACTATATTGTGACTTACTATATTGTGAGTTACTATATTGTGACTTACTATATTGTGAGTTACTATATTGTGAGTTACTATATTGTGACTTACTATATTGTGAGTTACTATATTGTGAGTTATCTTTGTGACTTACTATATTGTGATTACTATATTGTGAGTTACTATATTGTGAGTTACTATATTGTGAGTTACTATATTGTGACTTACTATATTGTGAGTTACTATATTGTGACTTACTATATTGTGAGTTACTATATGTGACTTACTATATTGTGAGTTACTATATTGTGAGTTACCTATTGTGATTACTATATTGTGACGTTACTATATTGTGAGTTACTATATTGTGATTACTCTATTGTGAGTTACTATATTGTGAGTACTATGTGAGTTACTATATTGTGATTACTATATTGTGATTACTATATTGTGATTACTATATTGTGAGTTACTATATTGTGAGTTACTATATGTGAGTTACTATACTGTGACTTACTATACTGTGACTTACTATATTGTGAGTTACTATATTGTGACTTACTATATTGTGAGTTACTATATTGTGAGTTACTATACTGTGACTTACTATATTGTGATTACTATATTGTGAGTTACTATATTGTGAGTTACTATATGTGACTTACTTATTGTGACTTACTATATTGTGATTACTATATTGTGAGTTACTATATTGTGACGTTACTATATTGTGAGTTACTATATTGTGACTTACTATACGTGTTACTATCTGTGACTATATATTGTGAGTTACTATATTGTGAGTTACTATATTGTGAGCTTACTATATTGTGAGTTACTATATTGTGAGTTACTATATTGTGAGTTACTATACTGTGACTTACTATATTGTGAGTTACTATATTGTGAGTTACTAATTGTGAGTTATATACGTGACTTACTATACGTGACTTACTATATTGTGAGTTACTATATTGTGAGTTACTATATTGTGAGTTACTATATTGTGAGTTACTATATTGTGACTTACTATACTGTGACTTACTATACTGTGACTTACTATATTGTGAGTTACTATATTGTGAGTTACTATATTGTGAGTTACTGTATTGTGAGTTACTATATTGTGAGTTACTATATTGTGAGTTACTATATTGTGAGTTACTATATTGTGAGTTACTATATTGTGAGTTACTATATTGTGAGTTACTATATTGTGAGTTACTATATTGTGACTTACTTATGTGACTTTACTGTGATTACTATATTGTGAGTTACTATATTGTGACTTACTATATTGTGACTTACTATATTGTGACTTACTATACTGTGACTTACTATATTGTGAGTTACTATATTGTGAGTTACTATATTGTGAGTTACTATACTGTGACTTACTATACTGTGACTTACTATATTGTGAGTTACTATACTTTGAGTTACTATATTGTGAGTTACTATACTGTGACTTACTATATTGTGAGTTACTATATTGTGAGTTACTAAGCTAATAATGCGAGTTACTTTTGGACTTCGTATGTGTAAATTTGTCAATTTTATCTATCAAATTAGGATATGGGAGCTGGACAGGCACCTAAAGTCACTACCTGGCCAGTCTGTCTCTCGTTTGTACGACAGCTTGCATGTGGCTAACAGTAACAGCCTGTTTGATCGGGCCCTGATTCACTGCAAGGCCTGGTCATTGACCGGGCCGCAGGAGCGTTGACCCTCTCCCCCAAAAACATCTTCCAGGTATACTCCAGGTATACTCCAGGTATACTCCAGGTATACTCCAGGTATACTTCAGTTTTCAGTTTTCAGGAACGAGAGTTGTATGATATGGTGGATCTAGTTATATATATATTGGTATAGATACAACACCATGAACACGTCTGTATTTTTAACTGAAAATACACATACAAAATTAGGTAACAAATAATTACAAATGTTAAAGTATTTAACTGAAAAATAGGCAATAATTAAAAAGCATTTAATTAACAGTTTTATTTGAAACTTTGGGAGTGACATAATGAATAATAAAATAGAAAAACTTACCTTACTGGATCTTTAACTTCCTCTAAGATCACGTTGGTGCCTCCCCTGAAACATTAATTTATTGTGAGTTACATGTTAAATATTATAGTGTCTATATAATGAAGAAGATTATGATGATGATGATGATGGTTATGAAGATTCTTACTACTACTGATAATGACAATAATAATAATCTGCAATTTTTTTTACATAATTTCCTAAATAATAAAATAGTTTAATAAAATATGATGCTGTCTGGAACCTTCGAGAAATTTTAAGTGAAGGGGAGGTGTGGAACAGCCAGTAGGGACGCCGGGGTGAGAGACGACATATTGAATATAATGTGTGTACACTGGTTGTGGCAATCCTGCGTCATCGAGGCCATAATGGGGTGTGTCGGTCTGCAGTTGTAATAGGAACCAGTGTTAATGTCCTCTGCTGAAGAATTAGGACAGGAAATTTGCGGGACCTCAAGAATTATGTGCGGATGGTGAAATAAATGTGGTCATCGCTAACAAGGAAGTGCACCATAGTCTTTGCATTTAGATCACTAGTTGGCCAGTGTAGAGCCAAGATGTTAGGCAGGTGATATGGTGCGATCCATCTACAGTAATTTCATGGTAAGTGGTAATACAAGGTACTTTGTATTAATAGTTATATTTTTGTGTATCCAACAAGCAAGTAAACCAAAATACCATACAGTCTACTAAACTTCAATGTACCAGAGTAGCTGATTTTAATATTATAATTATTAATTTAACGTCAAGTCTAGCTTTTTGTGACAGTGAGATAGTGGGCAGTCAAAGGAGATGCAATTCAGTGAAGTTCTGTGACTAAGTCCCACTTACCTCACCCAAATTACTTGCAGGTAATAATTAGGTGATGTCCTGTAAGCTTCCTGCAGGTAATTTACTCATATATAATAATAATAATAATAATAATAATAATAATAATAATAATAATAATAATAATAATCACAAATAATATTAAGAAGACGAAAAAAAAGAAAGAAACGGTGAAGAAGACGAGGAAGAAGGAGAGATGAGTAGAAAAATAATTTCGTAGTAATTGTTACCTGTCGACTCCTCAAACTGCATTAGTGATGTACTAGACTACAGTAAGCCTTCCACCTCACAGCTCAAGATCTTTAGGCTTTTGAATATATTCAGTAAGGTTAAAGTTCAAATTTGGTGGAAAGGTAAAACTATGTATCCAGTCCTACGGCATCTTGAAAAGTAGCTGCCGTACTGGAGAATTTTAAAAGGAAAATAGGTGTAAATTACGTATCATAAAATATCCAGCATGTACTCAGAGTCCTCTCTAGTTTCTTATTAACTACGTTATCTCTCAGTTGCTATTGCCTTTGAGGAAACAAATGACATAATATTTTATTCGTCATTTGAGGGAACAGTAGGGAACAAAGGAGATATACTGTATGTGATGACTCTATCGGACCCAAGTGGGGCCCGGGGAAAGGCAGGGAGAACAGCTGGAACTAATGAGGGGACCAAAGACAACGAAGGAGCTAGGTTTTACACAGAGGCCCTAACGGACGACTGCCGTCTCCAGGAACAGATAAGCACAGGGACACTGGATAGGGAAGAGACAGTAGGAAGCAATGCATCAATGGCAGGAATTTATTCATATCAGAGGATGCTCAGGGAAGTTCAGTGGGAGGACAAAAGGGAGAGGGCAGTTTTTGTTTATGGGCTCCAAGAAGTAGATGGGGAAACTTACGAGGCAAGGAAACAGAAGGAAAAAAAATGATTGAAAGATTCATGAAAGCAATAGGAGAGGACGACATGACTCGGCTGACAAATTTTCGGAGAATTGGGTGGTTTGTGAGAGGAAAAAAGCATCCAGTCAAAGTGATTTTCATGACAGAGTTAGCTCGAAACCGGATCCTGAAGGAAAAGTGCGCCTAAGGGACAACCTGCAGTTCTGGAGTGTGTACCTCGACCGAGATAGAACACAAGAAGAAAGGATGATACTGAAAGAGAGGGTGCAATGTCACAAGGAGGAAAGGGAGGCAAGGAAGGTGGGGAGCAGGGGAAATCAGGCCCATGTGGAAGAACAAACAACCCTCTCCAGTACCACTCACAGAAGGAACCCAACCATGGCAATCCTAGAGCAATCAAACAACCTAACCCAAAATCCACCCTCTGCCCCATCCCCCTCAGCACAAACTCCACCCCCACAGAAACCCACGGTAACCCACATATCCCCCTCAGCACAAACCCAATCCCCACAGAAACCCACAGTAACCCACACACATCCCCCTCAGCTCAAACCCCATGCCCACAGAAACCCAGAGTAACCCATGCAATGTACCCTCTCCCCCCATCACCCTCATCACAAACCCCACCCCCACAGTAACCCACAGCAGCTCTCACACTGTACCCTAAATTTCCATCCCCCTCACCACAACTCCCGCCCCCACTGTAACCCCCCATAGGCCCTCTGCCCCCACCCCTCACACAAGAGACAGCAACCCCTTATAGGCCCCCACCAGGGCACCTGCTCCCCCAAACCCACCTTTCTCCCAGACCACAGTTGTAGAAAAGAAGTTGAAGGTTTGGTGCACGAACGTGGATGGAATAACAAATAAATGTGAGGAGTGGCATGAAAGAATCAGGGAGATATCCCCTGACATCATAGTGGTCACTGAAACAAAACTCACTGGGACAGTAACAGATGCAATCTTCCCACCCAGATATTAGATCTTGAGGAAGGATAGAAGGAGCAGAGGGAGAGGAGGGTTGCACTGCTAATTAAAAACCGGTGGGGTTACCAAGAAATGGAAGAAATGGACGAGATTGGAGAAAGGGACTGCATAGTATGTACAGTTCAGTCAAGGGAACATATGGTAGTTATTGCAGTGATGTATAACCCACCAAAGAACTGCAGGAGGCCAAGAGAGGAATATGATGAGTGTAACAGAGCAATGATGGACACACTAGCTGAGGTGGCAAGAAGGGCTCACTCGAGTAGAGCGAAGTTACTGGTTATGGGCGACTTCAACCACAGGGAGATTGGGAAAACCTGGAGCCACATGGGGGTCCCAAAACATGGAGAGCCAAGATGATGGATGTGGTACTTGCAAACCTCATGCACCAAGATGTTAGGGACACTACCAGAGAGAGAGGGGAGGATGAACCAGCAAGACTGGACCTTGTGTTCACCCTGAGTAGCTCAGACATTGAGGACATCACATATGAAAGGCTCCTTGGAGTTAGTGACCACGTGGTTCAGGGCTTTGAATACATCGTGGAGCTACAAGTGGAGAGGGTAACAGGAGTAGAAAGGGAAAAGCCAAGCTATAAAAGGGGGGACTACACAGGTATGAGGTCCTTCCTGCAGGAGGTTCAGAGTGGGAACGAGAGTTGGTAGGAAAGTCAGTCAAACGAAATGATGGACTATGTAACAACAAAATGCAAGGAGGCAGAGGAAAGCTTTGTTCCCAAGTGTAACAGAAATAATGGGAAGAACAGAACGAGCCCTTGATTTACCCAAAGGTGTAGGGAGGCAAAAGCTAAGTGCACTAGAGAATGGAAAAGGTACAAAGGGCAAAGGACCCAGGAAAATAAGGAGATTAGCCGAAAAGCCAGAAACGAGTGTGCACAGATAAAGAGGGAATCCCATAGACAGTAAAAAAAGACATAGCATCGAAAGTCAAATCTGACCCAAAATTGCTGTTAGCCACATTAGGAGGAAGACAACAGTCAAAGACCAGGTGATCAGGCTGAGGAAAAAAGGTGGGGAGCTCACAAGGAATGTCCAAGAAGTATATGAGGAGCTCAACATGAGATTTCAGGAAGTATTTAAAGTGGAGACTGAAGGGACACTGGGAAAGCAAAACAGTGGGGTACACCAATAAAGAATATACCAACAAGTGTTGGATGAATTACACACAACTGAGGAGGAGGTGAAAAAGCTTCTAAGTGACCTTGATACCTCAAACGCGGTGGGACCGGACATCTCTCCGTGGGTCCTTAGAGAGAGAACAGAGACACTGTATGCGCCACTAGCCAAAATTTTCAACACTTCCCTTGAAACTGGGCAACTACCTGAAGTATGGAAGATGGCAAATGTAGTCCCCATCTTTAAGAAAGAAGACAGAAATGAAGCACTGTAGACCAGTGTCACTGACGTGTATAGTATGCAAAGTCATGGAGAAGATTATCAGAGAGAGTGGTGGAGCACCTGGAGCAGAGCAAGATTATAAATGACAGCCAGCACGGATTCGTGGAATGAAAATCCTGTGTCACAAACCTACTAGAGATTTATGACAAGGTAACTGAAGTAAGAAATGAGAGGAAGGGTGGAATGATTGCATTTTCTTGGACTGCAAGAAGGCTTTCGACACAGTTCATTACAAGAGAGTAGTACAGAAGCTAGAGGAACAGGCACAGATAACAAGAAGGGCACTGCAATGAATCAGAAAATACCTAACAAGGAGGCAACAGCGAGTCATGGTCCGTGATGAGGCATCACAGTGGGCGCCTGTGACAAGCGGGGTCCCACAAGGGTCAGTCCTGTGACCAGTGTTATTCTTGGTAAATGTGAAAGACATGACGGAAGAGATAGACTCAGAAGTGTCCCTGTTTGCAGATGATATGAAGTTAATGTGGAGAATTAAATCACATGCAGACCAGACAGGTCTACAAAGAGACCTGGACAGGCTGGATGCGTAGTCCAGCAACTGGCTCCTAGAATTTAACCCCGTCATGAAGATCGGAGAAGGGCAAAGAAGACCGCAGACAGAGTATAGACCAGGAGGCCAAAAACCGCAAACCTCACTCAAGGAGAAAGATCTGGAAGTGAGTATAATACCGAGTACGTCGCCAGAAGCACACATTAACCAGATAACTGCTGCGGCATATGGGCGCCTGGCAAACCTGAGAATAGCGTTCCGGTACCTCATTGAGAAATCGTTCAAGACTTTATACACTGTATATGTCAGGCGCATACTGGAGTACGCAGCACCAGTTTGGAACCCACACCTGGTCAAACACGTCAGGAAATTAGAGAAAGTGCTAAGGTCTGCAACAAGGCTAGTTCCAGAG